TATGTGTAAGCAGGTTGGGTGACGTCGACTGCATGTGCTGCAGGTGTGTCGCCTTTTGCAGTCTTTGGAAATGTGCCCCTTTCCTAGGCACCCGAAGCAAAGGTTATTTTCGTGAATCAAAGTTTTCTTCTCGTCTGTAGTCTTTGCTGTAAAGGTTGGGCACCTTGCAATACCATGTGTTTCATCCTTACAAACTAAACAAGGTGGCCATGGTTTTGAGTTTGAAGTTACAAATGTGGTGGGTTCATTCATTTCAGTACTGGTTTGAGTGCTTTCGTTCTCCTGAGAAAACTCTCATCTGTGGTCTTGGTGTTTTTCATCAGGAGGGGGAATACAATGGGATTACAAGCTATTCTAGCTTCCTTTTGTGTAAACTCTGTAAAACGTGCAAAACTTGGATAGTCTCCAAATTTGTCTAACTCTTCAACAACAATCCGACTCCACCTGTGAACCATCCACTCAGGCAGTTTTTGGAGAAGCTTGTGATTTTCCTCGCAATCATTTAGGATGGACAGGCCCTTTACATGGGGAATAGCTTCAACACAACCTTGAAGGAAATCTGCAAACTCTCTGAGTGCTATGGGGTCGTTTAAATCTATCTTGGGCCACTTCATGAGCTTGTCTCTGAAAGCCTTTTGGACAATAAAGGGGTTTCCATATCTATCTTGCAAGACTGCCCAGGCACTGTGATATGCATCTTCTGAGTTTCTGTAGAAAAATCCTTCTACAGCCTTGCGCGCCTCCCCTGCGAGGTAACTCTTTAGATAGAGCATCTTTTCACCAACTGGGAGGGGCTTATTTCCAATGAGGGCCATGAAGGACATCTTCCAGTATATGAACTTCAAAGGATCGCCAGTAAACGTTGTTGGTTCTGGGACAGGTAGACGATTCAGAGTAAAAGAGCTTGCAATTGCCTGGGTTAGGCTGACTTCTTCCTGAGACGTTGGCGCTTCAGGCGGTGCAGGATGAAGCCGGAATGGCTTTGCTTGTGGATTTAGTGGGGGGGGGGGTTTGTGGTCGGTATTTCGGCCACCATGTTGAGATGTGTGGTCGACCTCTTCTTCACAACTTTCAAACCCATCAAAATGTCTGTACGCTCTAAAGCACCCAGATATTGTTCTAAACTGTATTAAAGTAAACAGGTATTATCTTGAACTGTATTGAAGTGAACATGTATTATTTGGGACTGTTTAAAGTAATCCTATATATATAAACCTTCTTACTTACACTCCATGACCCAGAGACCCTGACACACACATACACCTCCTGTCTCCATGCAGCACACACATAAACTCCTTGACCCAGATATCAGCAACACACACACATACGCCTCCGCTTATCAGCACACACACACACATACACTTCCCCTCACTAACACACACACATGTTCTTTTTCAAGGTTCTTTCTGGGGCCAATATAATCCCAAGCACCAATATATCTGTGTACAATGTTTGATTGTTTAGAAAAGAATAGTTTGTGTGAAACCTTCCCTGGGAAATTAAAGGAGTTGGGTCCGGTATAAGATAAAAAGTGATTCTGACCTTGTATAGTTCCGATGCTCTCACGCTCTGTTCAGAAGAAAAATACTTTTTCCCAGGACTCTGATTCGCTGTATTGGGCCCGACCCAAAGTGAATCCAACCAGTAAGAATTTTCATTATCTTTGCTTTTTTTATGCCTGTTTTTAAATGCCATTTAATAATGTGTTTATGCTGTATTTATTCTTAAATGTCTTTTGTTTTTATTTTGTAAAACACTTTGAATTGTCTGAAAGGTGCTATATAAATAAAATTGCCAGATGGAAAACCCACAGTATATTACAGGTTTTAAAATGTTAGTTCGCTTAAAAGGGGAAGTTTGAGGAGGTTTCATGGACATCTTTCGGGGAAATGTGAGAGGAAATGGAGCCAAAACCACTGAGGCTGTCCTCAAACACAGATCCCTGAGGAAGTACAGCATCACAGAGTGTATGACTGCTGACTCTGATCCTGGGCCTCACTTTGTTTTCAAAAGTGATGGGACACTTTTTTCAGATCAAAATAAAACTGTATTGCGCGCCACACTTTTTTTTGTACACACTAGTTTAATTACAATTTGCTGGCAACACCTAGACAGGATTCACAGAGTCAGGCTATAGACTGTTTTTCCTAGGAACCATTATATATTTGTTGGGGGGGGACAACCATTGAGGAAGCCAATGATCTCCGTCTTTTTTAGTCTTGAACCAACTGTTCTCCTCAGCTGCTGCACAGCGGGATAAATGTTTTTTCTATTAAAAGTTTACTGATGTGTCCAAATTGCACATCTCGACACTAAGCCAGTGTTCTTGTTTATTACATTTCTGTGTGCACACTATTTTTCAGAACATTTATACGTTTTTTAAAAAGTGGTGGGGACATGACAGGGGCAAATGACTCATCTCAAGTCCTTTTGAATTCTCCTAGCCTCCGAGTCATTTTAGAATATGAGAACTGATTTGGATAAAAAGGGACCTGGACAATTGTATACAATGCCTTAAGCATAAGAGTTTAAATACTGTTGTTTATGCATTACTTCACTTATTGGAACAAAGAAAAACCTGGCTCATAAATGAAAATATGAGTAAATAACAAATAACCTGTTTTTAATGAGAAACCTTATATTAGATCAACAGATCGCGTTATATTGATTGTGTTCTGATTATACTGATTTAACAAGATCAAATAACATTATCATAACTAGGAAAAATTAATAATATGGTTTCTTACCAGAATATATGTTAATAAAATGATAACGTTTTCACGTTATAAAACTGGAAACAGGAACATTTAAAGCAGCAAAACACAACCATAATGTGTCTAATATTGGGTGTGGTTTTGATTCAGATTCTGGTTTCGTTGTTTTAAATGTATTCTCTATCTTTTGTTAATTTACCCTACAGATGGATGTTTCTACACAACTTTTATTTTTCCTTCACTATAGGATTAGTCTCTTTGGGAATCCACTTTAGCTTAACACAAAGTTAACATTTTACGGTAATGTTTTAAAGGCTACAGTGTGACAGTGACACTAAATGGACGCTTCCACCATAAATCTAGTAAGGGTCCTTCTCATATTCCTCTGAATATCACACTCGGTATATAAAACATTAACAAGAAAGATCTAGAGAAACGGTTTCAGTACAATCATTTATTCTGCACCATTGGAAACAAAACCAAGAAGTGAAATCAAATATAGACCACCAATGAATAGACCACAAAAATAATATTCCCTCTTTATGAATCAACTCCACATCAGACTCTGCCTTCTTGGAAGGTCTAAGCCTGAGGAGGACTGAAGGCTGGAGGCCTGAACCTGATCCTCCCCCCACAATATCCCCAGAGGATTATTCTGCACATCACCAGGCTGGTCTCACAGAGACTAATGTGTGCTGCATCTGAACATGTTAGCAGCGTTTAGACTGCTGGCTTTAACTTAATATTCTGACAACTGGTAAATAGTGCATCAGGTTGTGTGAAACTGCCAGTCTTATGACATGCACCTGGTCCAAACCCTGTATTATTATGCATCACATATTTTTATCCGCAGATCATTTTACCCGTTTTCACAAAAAGACTGGTTAGGTCAGCAAACTTAAGCTACTTTGTGCCAGGGTGTCCCACACATAGACTATACTTGGGTGGGCCGCCCAGGTATAGTAACGGACGCCCAAGTATATTTTGCGACCTGTTTAGGTTTTTTTTTTTTTTGAGTTTTTTTTTTTTTTTGTCCGTGACCACAACGTTATCTGCGATCGATTAACTTGTGGACAATGATCCCTCACTTTACACCTCCTGTACCCAGTCCCGGACTGGCCATCGGGAGGACCGGGGGGTTTCCCGATGGCCTGGCCTGTTAAGTGGTCTGCCTCACACAGGGTGACTGGCTGTCTACATGATGTGGCCTGCCGACATGGCCACTGTCATACAGATCATAAATCAAAGCCCTTGATTGGTCTCTGTGTGTCATTCAAGCTCGGGATAACCTCAGGTGAGGCAAAGGACTCTCTGAGTGTTTAGATAGTTAACTTAGTCTCAGTTCTCAGTGGGTCTCAAACGGTTTGGTCACCATTTATGTAAACACATATTTCAATTTGAGAGGGGAGTGATTACTCAAATATGCATGAATAAATAAATAAAAAGTTAACTAGGTGAAAAAAGGCAAGATACACTTTTAAAACTTGTTGAGAGCTAAAACTAGTCTTTGCTGCTGCCTCAAAGAGGAGCAGGGAGGAGAGGAGGGAGACAATTGAGGCTGATTCAGGAGCACAGACACACTCACAACTATAAATGAACCAAAAATAAATAAATAAACAAGTTTCAGTGTTTTTCATATTGGAAATGGGATGTTATTGGTTATGGCCATGTTCTTATGATTTTATGATTATTAAAATGTATACAGTTCTGTTTCATATAGGTGTTCCGATAGATCTAGTCTCTTTATTTCCCCCTCAAAGTGCACCAGATTGATGCATTTAACTCCAACATTTAAAAAAAAAAATCTTACCGGGGGAGCATGCCCCTGGACTCCCCTAGAGGATTTAAGTCCACCCCCACTTAAAATCACATTGATAGGTTCCTAAATACATTTACCATTTTTTGAAAAAGTAACCCATGTCCATATGTTTATTTGTGGGTAGTAGATTTAAACTATAGGGCTATCAGGGCCCTGCCTGTACCATCGCATGAAGGTTCTGCTAACAAGCGACCAACAGAAAGGTTAATGTTAACGTCGCCTCAACCCCCCACCCCCGCTACCACTACCCCCCCAAGTATATTTCAGATCTGTGGGAAACACTAGCTCACTTTTGTAAGATAGCTTTTTAAGTAGAATGCTAACATGAGCTACCTAGTTTGAAAGATGGCTAACATTTCACTACCTAGCTTGTTAGATAGGTAGCAAACTTGAGCTACTTTGTTCAGATAGCTCACTTTTGTTAGATAGCTTGTTAAGTAGAATGCTAACGTTAGCTACCTATTTTGAAACATAGCTAACATTTCCTCAGTTAGCTTGTTAGATAGCTAGGGAACTAAAGCTAGTTTGGACAGATAGCTCACTTTTGTTAGCTTGTTAAGTAGAATGCTAACGTTAAGTAGTAGGAATAGAGAACTGTTATGTCTAACTATTCCACATTGCAGCCTGTAATAACGTATAGTTACTCTTTCATAATCGGAATACTTTTATTTATCATGAAATCTTACGATGTCAGATATGTTGTGAATTCCTGAACAACTCTCTGTCAAAATCTGCAGAGGGAGGCTGGTAGAAACAGCTGTTTCAACATCTGATGTGTTGACACATTTAACAACATGTAAACAGACCTCAGACATGAAACAGTTGAAGAGTTAACTGCACAGACTTAGCTAACTGATACATCTCTTAAAGTTAAATGTAATAAGAAATGTGTGTTGACTGGCAGAAGTGAAATGACTAAACACATTATAGCCTCATATTGTTGTTATTGAAAAAATAATTTAATAATTCCTGCATTGCTATTTTACTGTAGTCTGCCAAGTGTGCTGTTGATGTTATCCGCTCTGTGGGAAGGGTGATGTTTAAACCAAGGGATTAGGCTATATCATGGGTGGGTTTAAGGCAATACTATGGATCTATTGGTTGGGATATTATAAAAACAACTAGCGCTACCTTTATTAGCACTAGCAAAAAACATTCTATTCCCCCCCACCACCCGCTTAGTTTCTGGAACTGTAAGATATTGTTGTGCTATGATTTATTGCTGATAGGAGAATAATGGTGTTTTCCTTTTTATGATAGTTGGTCAAATGACTGATTAGGCTGGACAGTTACCATTATTTGGAATAGACAAGAGAATAAGGGATATTATATTTACTTGAGATGGAAAGAGCAACCGGTAAAAGTTGATTGCTTTTATCATAGATTTGAACTGTTAGTTAGCAGGTTATAAACCTGTAAGTAGAATTGACAATAAACGTAAGTATAACCTAACTCAAATTAACTTAATTTAACTTAACACATGTAAAAACTCTGTATCATCACCTTAAAGAACACCTTTACATTTTTAACTTCAGTATTTGTAAGGCTATAACAAATGCAAAATAATGTTTGGTCCATCTTAACATTTTCATTTTGTTGGATATGATGGATAATACCATGCCAGGGTAATGCTAGAAATATAGTATGAGACAAAACGGAGCTGCTCCCATTAAAACAAACATTTACAATGACAATTAGTCGCAGTGACCAATCATGGCAAACTTGTATTGTTGTTAGCGTCAGTGTGTGGTAACAGGGCACTTGTCAAGGCTCTTTGGTTCTTTAGATTAGAGAATTTGCGTCTCATCATCTGTCTGTAATGGGCGTCCCTTGCCCAGGCTCTTCCAGTCATACCAGTCCTGTCAGAGCGCTGTCGCCGTGGAGACACCCCCTTAGTTTCTTGTTTGTGCTTAGCGGCCAGCTCTGGGAACTGCTGGGTGTATAAACGGGCTGTGTACTGCAGTTCTGGAGTTATAAGTCTTTGACATTTAATTTTGGTCTGTGTGTCTAAGTCTGGGTTTAAGTTATATCCCTGAATTACAGCTGCTCCATACTGGAAGGGCTTTAGCCCCACGTCTTTTATCTTGGACGGGTCAACTGCCCCCCCATCTTTCAGGCAGCTGTTTGCCAGCTTAGTCTGTAGCTCTCTCAACTGAGAGACTTCTCTCTTCATCTGCTCTTGCCCAACAAGACTATCCACTTTGAGCCAGAATGAGGTGTTAAAGTGCAGGTAGATCCTCCAGTCCAAAGCATTCCACCTCTTTATTTTCTCTGCAGTTTCTGGTAAAAGTGGGTGACGGGATTTTTCACTGCGACTGTTGAGCTTAAAAGAAACAATATCTTCCAGGGACCAGCAGAGAACATGCTTGAGCAGGATCATGGACTCATCAAAGTATTCAGAGATGAGAATAAGGTGGAAGTCTCGTTCAATGGCTGCAATGGCCATGCTGGTTCTCTCCTCCAGGTCATCAGCACCAGGTGCAACGTTGTTGTCGAAGCCAAAGTCAAAAGCCAAGATATTGTGAGCGTAGTGGTTGTTTGTCACCGATGAGTTGTAGTTTTTCCAACTGTTGTCGAGGAAGTTGTCCAAGCTGTGAGTCTTGTGGAAGGCTGGGATGCTTCTGTAATAGATGAAGATGGACTCCATCATGGCCACAGGGTTCCTCAGGATGGAAAAGTAGAAGGTATCCCTAGGCATCACTTTGGCAACCTGGGACAAAATATAGGAAGACGTTTAGAGACGGAGTGCTGAAAAATTCAAGAAAAATTATGTTTGGTAATCTTCTCCCAAAGCATTTTAAATGTACAATTTAAATCTCTCTCTATATCCTGAAAGTAGTCTTTAAAGGGGACCTATCATGCATGCAAAATGCACTCTTGTACATCTTTTATACATGAATATCTATCTCCGGTGTGTCAGGGAACTCACCAAGTGTCAGAAAATACAACCCTCTTTCTTTTCCTCTATACCCAAATCTCTAAAAACGGGGCTGCTACGGATCTGATACAGACTGCTCCGCTTAGTGGTCAATTCTCCACCTATCAGGGGAATGAGAGGTTGGGCCACGGCCGGCCATTGCCGCTCGAAAGCGCTGGAGACGCTGTAGTACATATGCCAGGCCTGTAAGTGGCGCTGTAGTCTGCCACAAAAGCAGCGAAGAAGACTTCCCGCGCATGGTTGCCATGGTTCCCCTTCTGTTTATTCTCCGCTGTGGCTCTTTTTCTCCCAACCCGAGGCAAGCGTTTGCGCCTCCTGCTTTAAAACAAATGAATAATGACTCTATATAATCATATGTAAGGGATAATGTGCAGCGACGCGGTCATTGTGGGGAAAAGAACACCGACAGGCTGATCAGGAGCCCGACGTGAAGCGGAGGGATCTAGATCGGCATCCGTCTGCTTGGGTCCCGCTTATTACATGGCCACATTCTCAACAAAGTAACGATATGACTCCCAATATTAATTGAAATGCTTTTATGGATTTAGAAAATGATTTTATTGATTAAAAAAATAGTTGTATTGATTTAAATTGACATGCATCCGCTAAGAAAAATAGCAGGAACTGCTTCAATAGTGTTTTTGAGGAGCTTTTTGATTACAGATTTGAAAACATCGCTGCTTGCTTTAAAAGTAGCACAATTCATTATGTCAAACCTTGAAAAGTATCTAGATATCCCTGCCCTAATGCCAAAGTAACTGGCAACTGAATATGTGTCGCCGTTTGATGTCTATGTCTGGACCGCTGCGTAAAAAGGAGGGTTTCTGCCCCATTACTTCTCTTCTTACTTCTATAAGAATAAAACACGGAGGACGGAGATCTCTTTTTCTCCCCGTCTACAGACCGCCCAGCAGCTGATCTCAGAGCACGCTCCCCTCTCCTGCAGGAGGGCGTGGTCAGCTGCAGCTCACAGAATCAGCCCCCTTCAAAAACAGGGCTGGAAAGAGCAAATAGAGCTAAATGAGGCATGGCTAAAATGCAGGATCTGTTTGGTATTTTGAAAAAAAACTATATTTAAATGTTATATACTTTATATAGGTATGGCCCTACAATATATTGTTCAAATGTAGCATGATATGTCCCCTTTAAATTATACTCTTGGTATCTGTGGCCATTGCAGGGCTTTAATAAGTATCTCCAATCATTTCATTTGGCCTGTGCCCTGGGTTTCAGTGGAGTCTACAAGCTGCTAGCTTGACAGCTGTGAGTACATACAACAGTGTTTGGTATTTACGTTCATTTAGGTCTCTTATGAGGGGAACTGGGGGCAGTGGCTGTTTTGAGCTGAACAGTGACGCCAATTTTGGGGAAATGTCTCTCTAAATGTAGCTACTATTGGAGCTAGTGGTTCCAGCTACTTTAATTGGAAAAGGTTTTATGACACTGGGCTGGGTTTCTTAATTTGGAATAATTTCAAAATCCACTGTACTCTTGCTAGCTTCTTAAGCTTATTACCAACCATAAAAAAAATTTATAATTAAGAGAAATGATATCTCAAGAAACTGGTAAATATTATTTTGCCAAACTCTAAACCCACCATAGCTACTGGGGCCAAAGTGGGTAAGATTTGCCGGGCTTGCCTAAATAACATCCATTCACCAATGGTGGGTCTCAAAGGGAAAGATTACTTCTGGGTTTTTCCTTTGTCATTATTGACCATCCATTGTATACCATCATTATATACATGGTATATACATTTAAAATTAGTCTAGACCCACGCTAAATATCCATCACCACAGTACCCACATTTACCCCTAAGGCCCTCTACAATAGTTTTTTCCACATACAGCCCACAGGAGTCCATTTAGACATATATCTATACAGTACAGCTCAGGCATGAAAACAGTTCCACAACTGAACTTGATTGGTTTTCTGATGACACTCACCTCATATTTTCTGAACCTCATGTGGTTGCACATAATGTGAAACTCCCTCAAACTTCGGCTGCTGACACCTTCCACAAAATGTGAAGCAAAGGAGAACGGGTAAAACAGCTGGCTGTGTTTGTTCAGAGGGAGAGCAAAAGTCAAGTTCCTGCTTTCTCCATAGCGATACAGTATGTTTAAGATGGTGCTGCTTGCTGTTTTGTGTGTCTTCAGGAAAACAATGTGAGACTTTGGGTGGCAGGTTTCTTTAGTAGGGACACTGTTGATGTGAGCCTTTAAAAGACTAGGCGGATTGGGAGTGTCTGAAATAAAACTTTTCCTAGTGCTGTTGAGGGCCAGAGGAACCTGAAGTCCAAGGCTTGCTCCGTGTTTTGGTAGAAGTGGCTTCCCAGCAGAGGCTTTCCTTGCCTCCGTCTGAGAGTCTATAGCAAGGTTGTCCACATGTTTTGACAGAATATAATCCAGTTGTTTTCGGTATCCCTCATTCTGTTGATGAACATCTGCAGTTCTGTCTGTCTGAGGTGACTTCACGTCCGTCTTTGCAGTAAGTGATTGGATGCTTTCCCAGACATTTAGCACTGTAGGAAACAGGTGCTGTTTGTTGACAGATCTCAGATGTGGGAGTCCTGTCAGCTTGTCATTCCTGTGAGAAGTCATTAAAATATTTTACAACATTTATCAGGTTCACAAATACTCATTAAACTGTCAAATTAACATTTCATATTGCTAGGTTGCTATGTAAATTGTAAAAATGTTTGCAAACAAGGTGATATATCATAAACCCAGTATCCTGATTTGCCCTTCATTTATCACCCATAAGATTCCTGGGATTTCTTGGCGTAAAGAAATTAGCTTTTAAACTGTAAAATGAGGATAATAAGGATTTTTTCCCACCAACATTTTCTGATGTTATATGTTATATCATTAAATAATGTGGTAGTAACACATTTGTCTTATATATAGATTTATAAATGTATACTTTCCTGAAAATGAAAACATATTTTTGCAAGAATGTATTGGCCTGAAAATATTGGGATCACATTTCCAAGCTTTAGCCATATTCATGACCCATGGGTTTAAATCTCCATTGGTATGATATGATACAGAGGACCAGGGGTGGATCTAGAAAAATATTTATGGGGTGGCAAGAGGGTGGCAGGAGATTTTGAGGGGTGGCATCCCCCGGCAGAAGTATATGCTGATATACCTCTGCAGCTCATCCAGAATGCAGCGGCTCGTCTGGTCTTCAACCTTCCTAAATTTTCCCACACCACTCCGCTCCTCCGCTCCCTTCACTGGCTTCCGGTAACTGCTAGAATCCACTTCAAGACACTGGTACTTGCATACCATGCTGCGAATGGATCTGGCCCTTCCTACATCCAGGACATGGTTAAACTGTACACCCCAGCGCGTGCACTACGCTCTGCATCAGCCAAACGACTCGCTGCACCCTCGCTGCGAGGGGGACCCAAGTTCCCATCGGCAAAAACACGTGGGTTTGCTATCCTGGCTCCAAAATGGTGGAATGAGCTCCCCATTGACATCAGGACAGCAGATAGCCTGCACATCTTCCAGACTGAAAACTCATCTCTTTCGACTCTACCTCGAGCGATAGAATTACTAACATAGAACTGCTAACAGAGCACTTATATACTAATAAAGGACTGGCTTATCTATAGCCAGTTGAGTAGCACCTGAAATGTTTGGCTCTATGAAACCTGATGTACTTATATGATTCTGTTTTCTTCAAGGTTGTGTCTTCCTGGTCGAATGTACTTATTGTAAGTCGCTTTTGATAAAAGCGTCAGCTAAATGCAATGTAATGATTTAATCGCAGTCATATCAATTAATGTTAACTTGGAAAGCCACAATATTTATATTTTAACTCAATAACATTTGGTGACATTATTGTGGCACATCAGTAAAGCCTTAAATATAATTGAATGAATTTTAACTGAACAATAACTGAGTTTGTCTCACTCTTAGACCAGCAGGGGTACCAAATCTATGCAGACTGCTGCAATAAGTACATTAATTAACTGTCTCATCGATGTTTGTCTGAATGAATATGATACTATTAACAATCATATTATTCCTATCAGCTGTCAATCAGTGTTATGATTCACATATTCAGTGTTATTATTAAATAAACTATATTTTTTGGAGGAGTTAATGATGAATGTTCCTCAAGATGCTTGCTCACCCTTCTTCAAATTTGAAAGACAAGTAATTACTATCATATATCAAAAGAATCAAAGGAACAGTTCAGCGCCCCACAACTTTCTGACTTTACATCAGAAAGAACAAACATTAATGAAGTGACTGCATCAGTTAGTTAGTTACAACGTGTATTCAGCTCAGAGGTTGCGTTAACCGAATATTTTCCGTCTATGACGGATTTTTTTTAACAATGACGGACAAATCTGAAAGCAGTCCGTCATTTTGACTGATTAGAACAAACTCGGAACAGCGCCAAAGTTTCCCAGCAGCGAGACTCCAGTGTTATGCCGTGTTATGCATGCCCTCCAAAAAGGAAATGATACCGTTTCCAAACCTAACTGTGCCGTACAAATCATTGAAATGTCTGTGAGTTTTGGCTTTACGCTGTGCAGGCTCCTGCGAGGTGCAGCAGCCATGCATAACACGGCGCATGTGAACTGCCCCCCCCCCCCCCGTTGACAGTTCACCAGCATGCTTCCCCCCCCCCCCCCCAGAGTTGTGTAAAGGCCGACGGGTAATTCTGGATTTTGACGGAAGTTTTACGATCCTGTCCGTCAAAATGACGGGCAGCAAAAAAGTCTAGCGAAACATCTGATTCAGCTAAAACATAAACATCGCTGCAGTTATTATCCAGTGGAAAGTCCTTACCTACTGGCCTAGTTAAATCAAAGTGGTTACTTTTTTTTGGCTGGGCAGTGAAGTTTTACACACCGTCTTATTTTACTTTCTCAGGAATTAAAACTGTTTTTTGGGGGCAGACCCCCACAAAGAAAATGTTATACACACGTAAGGTCATCATCTTAACAGTTTGTTATGCTCATCGAGTCATCCGTGAGCAGAGCATCAAGTCTATAACAGCTGAATGTGGCGATTACCATCTTGTTCAGCAAAACGCCTCACAAACTGATTAAGATCAACAGCTTTAGTGCGTTTTGATTCGATGCTGAGTACAGCCAAACTTGACAGTCTCTTCTCTGTCATTGTAGACCGCAAATACCTAATTATTTCCGTCTGCTTGGGTCCGAATGCTTCTCGTTTTGCGCCGTCCCCCCCCACATGAAATCGCCGCCAATCATATTTCCACGCTCGCGCCAGGGCCGGAGTTACAAGGCTCGCGTCTTGTGCTGCATTCACTTGCACTCGGACATTAGAGAGTTTCTCTCATAAATGTCCAATGAGCCACAACTTTTCTTTCAAAACAAAGCTGCCAACTGGGGTGGCAAGGCATTTTTCTGAGGTGGCAGCTGCCACCCCGTGCCACCCCGTAGAACCGCCACTGCAGAGGACATGATATTTGAGATGTATTATTATTTCAGTCAGCCATGTGAATATATAATGTGCACAGCAGTAATGGTGGGGGGGTTGGCTACATACTTTACCTGGCCTGGCGGGCAACAAAGGTCTGAATGGCGATGCAGACCACGAGCAGGATGAGTAGAATCCACAGAGAGTGCCGCCTGCTGCACAGCCCCCTCCTCACACACCTGCAGGAAGCACACACACAATAGACATTTATATCATAACATTTCTCTTTCATGATTTTCTACAATTATCGTTTTTTTTGGATCACTACACTTAGAAGCACTTTGCCTCAAATAAACAAAGAGCTGTTCCTTAAATGTGTTTTCTTTTTCTTTTGTTTCATTTAACCTTTAGTGAATACAGTTCCTGAATGATTGCAACCTGAACAATTCAAGTATATTTTTTTAAATGATAATACTAACATTATTTATTACAAGCTACAATGTTGTTCTTTAGAGCTATTTACTGGTCAGAAGTTATAATAAATGTGTCAAGCATCTGCACATAAATGGAACTACTTCTGTACAGATCCACAATTTAGGAGATACACATTATAGCTCTTGTTGAGCACCTACATCAGGCACTCTTGAATGCTCCGTGGAAAATTCTCACTCACCATGAGCATTCAAGTTACATTTTTTTACATTTACTTATTTATTTTCACTGACAAAGCTTTTGAAATGTTAATGCCAATTCAATTAAAGTTTTGGAATTAGCTATATCCACAATAACCATCTATTGCAACTGTGTTTACGAGCAGGAGTTGTTTGTTCTTATTCTCAAATACGAAAAATAAAAAGATGTATAGCTTCTTAGTCCTTCCTCACCTGGCTCCTACCTTGTTTGGTTTGGTAAAATCTTTTTACATTACATGTTAGACGCTTTTATCCAAAGTGACTTACATACTCTTGCCCAGGGACACAATGACATGCTGACTGCAGTGGGGTTAGAACCTGTGACCCCCTGATCCCAACACCAAGGCTCTATCCACTGTGCCACACGCCTCCCTAGATTTAGTTTAATAATTACACAAACTTCACTAGTTCAGTCAGACAACTCACGTGTTTCTTAAAATGTTTATTATAAGCAGCATATAGTCTGAGTTTGGCGTCTAGACTCGGGCCTCATCACTCCACAGATTTACAAAGAACATTGAGTGGTGATTAGATAACTATCCCCCGAGCCTACAGGTGGAAGCTGGGGTGGTGGGGGGGCAGGCGAGCAGCAGCAACATGAAACACAGCAGCAGGAACATGAACGTGAACGTAGCAATAGCAAGTGAACACAGCAGCAGTGGCAGCAGCAGCAGTGGCAGCAGCAGCATAGCGAGGCAGAGGCAGGAAGACCTGGCAGCTTCAATAGAGCGGCATGTTTAGGAGAATGTGTTTGGTTGGTTGTAAGAGGGACGAGGTACGTCACGTGTTAATGTATCATTGGTGCTCGAGTTGACTGCCTGAACTAGCTCGCAGGCTTCACCCCATTTGTGTAAAATAAACAATCTGTTAAATTGCTTCTTAACCATTCTGGGTACTTTCAGTCTTAGCTTTGAGGTAACTAAGGTCAAAATGTCATACTGCATCTTCTTGTTTGCAACAAATCTGGGAAGGAGCTTATGTCAGTTTTAGGGGGGGGGTTTATGAGAAAGGGGAATTTTTCGTAATTTGTTCTCCTTTCTGGTTCAAGGTGTCTGTTCAGTTACTGAAGTATGTCTAACAGTTTGTCCTTTGGCAGCCTCATGTCTTAAAGACTGCTCGGGAACAGGTCTGTGGCTTACTGAGGATAATTTAAAATGGACTTTCTGGACATTAGGTATAGCCCATGGATAACTGCCCGAGGACTAAGGTTGGGATGGTAGAGTTTGCTGTAAAATGCCTTGGAAACTCCAGTTCGTTGTGTGGGCTACCTTTGTACATTGGGATTGGTTTTACAGACAGAAAACAGGGTAGAGATGTGGCTTGAGAGAGGGTTATGAAATGTAACAAAGCCGTAATTGAACCCAGTAGGCACTCCTCAGGTTTATTTCATGGTTAGGGTTAGTTTCCTCCCTGTTTCAGTGCAAGGGATTGGACCCTGACACTCACTGTGGTCTTGTGCATTGCATTTCATGTCTGTTTTCGGCCTGCCTGTACTTTTGTCCCTCAGTCATATATTGGGGCACAGCATAGTAGTATGATGAGCTTGCAGGAATTTGAGTCCAATTTGCTAATCTTCCTGATGAGTCTGTCACTAATGGGTTCCCATTACACAAGTTAACTTCATCTTCCTTAACTAAAGAACGTTTTAAATGTTGGAGATACTTTGTGATAGGGCTGTGCAATTAATCGTATTTTAATCGCGATTACGATTATGGCTTGCGACGATTAGGAAAACAGCATAATTGACAAAATACGATTATTTTGCTGGGTGCGCTTTCGCCCCTCCCTAAAAGCCCACTCGGCCACGTGGGAGTGACATGTGTTGTGAGTGTTCAGCGCAAGCGAAGATGTCAGAACAAGAGCAGCAACTAGTTAAAAAGAAGGGTCGCGGGGAGATTCCCATTCGATCGCGAGATGTGTCTAAAAATAGAACAACAATATTCTGTTTTATCGTTAATGTCCTGTAACATAATGTTCCCGTGCCAGAATAATGCACTTGAACGCATCAAAGCTTTGTGATTGGCCGGCCTCACCCCATGTGTCCGGGCGTGGCTGGTGAGCAGTGCACTAGTTCGCTGACGTTGTCCGTGTCAACAGCATGGATGGTCAACAGGAGTGACAGTCCGCACACACACAAGACCGCAATTATGGCAGAAGCAAAAAAGCCCAAAATATATAATTTGCACTCCAAGTGGGAGGATCATTATTTGTGTATCTATTCCAATTCAAAGTCCATCTGTCTCATCTGCAATGCGAGCGTGGCTTTATCGAAGAAGGGTAATTTAGGAGCGGCATTTCAAAACAGTGCACAAACGCTACGAGACGGAATTCCCTCCTAATTCTGCCCTACGCTCCAAAAGGGGAGGGGCCTGAGAGCACAGCTAAATGCACAGCAGTCCATTTTCACCAGGCCCAACAACAAGAGCAAGGCTGCTACCATAGCATCTTATCGTGTCAGTCACGTTCTTGCGAAACACATGAAGTCTTTCGAAGACGGCGAAGTTATGAAAGAAGCTTTCCTGGAGGCTGCGACGCGCTTTTTGGGGACAGTAAAAAATAACAGCAGCATTTCAACAAGTTTTTGATATAATAAAAACTCAATTTAGATACCGTTATTAATCTGCTGTAAGTTTTAGTTTGTTTGAATTTATTCATGATAATTATTGTACAAAATGGTATAAGAATGCAAACATTAAGATATGTTCTGTTTAAATTGATTATAGTCTATCGGTTCAGAAACTAGTGTTGCTTGCATCCTATTTTAAAGGCATTTCTTTTTATACTCTAATAAAATGCAACAAAAAATGGGTTTGATTCTATTAATGTTGTCTTTTTTATTGCACTGTTGCTGCAGCAGATTACTGTGTAGCTTCAGATCTGAGTTGTCTTATTAGTAAGCCTAATTTATACTTTTGTAGCAACACTATTTTTATATAATGGCAAAGAAAGGGTTCTTCAGAGTCTTTTCTTTTTTTCCTGTGTCATATGTGGCAGCACTGCCACAAGTTCCTCTTCAGAGAGGGTCTTCAGTACAGGTGGCAATATCGTCACCTGCCTGCGCTCATCTCTGAAACCAGACCATGTAAACAGGCTGGTGTTTCTTGCAAAAAATCTTTAAGAGATGACATGAGCAGCCCTACCAGCATTTGCCATGGTGGCCTAAACATTTTTATTTGGTCTTAAATTGTAGTTCAACATTTATTTCCTGTTACTTCTGGACCATGACGGTTGGCCAGCCTTCAACGTTTAACTGAGTGGAATATGTTGAATATGTTTTACCAAAATGTTGGCTATATGTTAAGGAGTTTTCAGTAGGTTGTGACAGTGCACTGCAACATGTTTGATTTCATTTATTTTGGTCTAATTTATTTTTATTTATCATATTAATATATGTTTAGTATGGTTTTGGAAGTGCGCTCCAACACATTTATTGATCTTGTTTATTGGTAAAATATTATTTGTTTTAAAGTTCAATAAATGGTCAATGAATAATCGTCAAAATAATCGTGATATCAATTATTGACCAAATAATCGTGATTATGATTTTTGCCATAATCGCACAGCCCTACTTTGTGACCAGAGCCAATCCCTCAACTTCTGGTTGACACAAAGGATGTCCAGGTTGTAACTTTATGTCTCTGTAATGACATGAGCTTCTCTTGTGGTTTCAAACATGATGTTCCAGCCTCAAAGACTGACTTCCAGAGATAACACTTATTTGAGCTTCTGATTTCCCGTGGTGGGCTTTGATCAGCCGCTGTCACTATGGCCAGTTAGGTTTTAGTTTGCCATTGGGGCACATGAGCTTGCTAGTTTGAACCCAACCATATAACATTTCTGCCTTCAGGAGACTTTCCCTGGCCTATTAACCCCTAGGTCAAAGGTTACGGACTCACATTGAACAGGTTTTGGGTTTTGTAGAAACAGCCTCATCATGTGCAGCCCAACCAACTCCAGCTGTTGTGAAAATGACAAAACCCCCACCTCAGCACAATGGAAGACCAGCAGACTAAGGTATATCAGCCTTCAATAGCAAAGAAAATCCTAAAAAGGAAGAGCTGGGCCCTAGTTCATGTTTCCACACAGCAGAGAAGGGGCAATTGGCCTCGTCATGTTCTGTTGGTTGAATGTTTTAGCGCAGCCAGAGCTTTCTATGAACAGAGTTCAGCAGCCAACCACATCTCCAACCACAGCTCCAGATGGAAAATAAACACTGTCTGTGGCTCTGAGCCAAACTGTCTGTGGCCTGAGTCTTTATAGACAGCTCAGATATATAGAGTTTCACTAGTGTGATATAACATTTTAATGAGGCTTAGTTATTTCCTATAACAGCTCGTCTAGTAGTTTATAAGTTTAAAACTAGTTTAATTCAAAATCTGGTACTCTATTAAACTTTTGCAGGAGCAGGAGAGGGTATGCAAGTAAAAAATAAGCAATTGATGTGTGTGCGTGTGTCTGATGTCAGGGTTTACCCAAACATCGACACACTCACACACACAATACAATTTCCTCTCTCTGCCTTATGTATGTGTTGGTTCTTGGTGGGTCTGAAAGAAAGTTATGCTGCTAGAACTTGATCATTATCAAGAAAAACAGTTTACACTGTGGCAGAATTTAACACCAATCTGCATGTTCAACCCTGTCCTCCAGAAAGTATGTTGCTTGCATACTAATTTACTTTTTATATTTATTTGTAAAGGAACATAGTGTCTACACCACAGAAGTCAAAGGGAGGAGATGGATGTGGAGTGGAGGACTTTGACGTGTCACATCATGATTTGAGCTTCATCATGAGGCCCAGAGGAGGGCGCTGGCCTCCTCTGGAATGGAAACCAAAACTGTTTCTGCAAAGTTAAATCAGAGAATAAGTAAATCCAATCCATTTACATTTTAATTCTATTTTATTGTTATTAATCCGGTTTTTATTGCATGCTGTTTTATCGTGTTATTAAGGTGTTCAATTCTAGTATTTTTTATTGAATACGTCTTCAATTGTGACGTTTTTTATACTGTTTTGATCTAAAGCCTGGATTGAAATTGCCAGGTGATTTTAATATTGGATGGAAATTAAGTGAACCACAGGCACATTAGTGAAACCCTATGTTTAAAGTATCCAGCAGTGGTGTAAAGTGAGACTCTATTGTGACAGAGCCTGTTGTAAAAGTATGGGAGCAAAGAGTTTGCAGACATCAGGTCTTAATAAGAGGGGAGAAAAAAGCCACAGGTTTCCCCGGGCTACAGGAACATCTGGAGCCAGGCATACATCTCCTCCAGGCCTCCCTTTGCAGCCCTCACAAACACTCATGAACTTTTAACCTCTGTCTGTAAGTTAAAATGTAGCTTCAGGTAGGCAATTATTGTCTTTTCTAAGAATTCCAGGCATCTCTCTGCCAGCGTGGGCTGGAGCTCAGGCAGAGAGCAGTTCAATGCGTCCTCCTAACTCACTGTGGAGGTTTTCTCCCAGCTAGGTCACCATGAGAAAAGCATTTCCATTTAGTCTGTAAACCAAACACCAGGCTATTGATATGAAGCCTGGCAGAATGTGATAGCAGCACGGTCAATTGACTTTGGAGCAGTTAGAGGAACAGAAGAGGATTAATAGCACAGGCAACAGCTTAGGATACTTTCCCATTTTCACTCGCTAATTATTTCCAATGACTCAACTTAGCTCAATGCTGCAGATATTTCACATTAAACTACCGGGAAAGAGAGGACCTATGTGTTTTGAGCTCCTCTGAGACTTTTAATGCCTCTGTTGACAATAACTAACCAACAATCCAAGAAAAAGCATGTAGAAGTGATCCGGAAAACAAAGTAAAAGATATTATTTGTGATTTAATCTACACTTTTAAATTAATATAGACTATGGGTCCTTGAATTGGTCAGTGATCTTGACATTTAAACACATACTACTGCACGAAAACAGGTCAAAATCCTACGGAGCCCCCTAGGGGACAAGGAGAAGAAAAAAAAAATTATTTGAACAAAAAAAAAAAATAAACTTTTTGCGAGATCTCGTAATTTTTTTTTTCTTCTCCATGTCTCCGTACAATCCATACTGAAGATCATGTGACACAATTAAAGGCTCCGAAACAGGAGTCTTTAAGACTGTAATCTGATGCTGATAAGCTTACATTTCGCACTGGCAGGAACCTGATGCCGATAGGATATCAGCACCTCGCTGAGTCAGCCAGGAGATGCCGATTGGGACTTTTGATTTGTTTTCCTTTCACAGTTTGTTGTTCCATGGTTTTCATAACCAAGAATGCTGAGAATATTTCAACAGAGTATATGTACACAAACACAGGTAGCATATATTTAACTCTGAAACACTTCCTGACCCTTCCTGTCATTTTGATTCACAGGAAATTACACTCATTATTCTAATTGAGTTGGAATTTATTGTCAGGGGAATAAAGGACTTAAAAAACCAAGGCCGAGTCACTGTGGCTCAGTGGAGGTTGGGATATTTGTTATAGGTCCGCAGTTTTGGATAGATACAGTATATCTTTATTCAGACTAACAAGAGCAGTATAACATGTCATTTCTTTCTGCACTTTTTGCTAAATACTCTCCATCTGCCTTAAAAAACACATGTATCTCAGGGACACAACGACATGCTGACTGCAGTGGGGTTCCTGTGACCCCCTGATCCCAACACCAAGGCTCTAACCACTGCACCACACGCCCTCAGTACAGTCTTTTATACATTTTGAATTGTGATAGAATCTGGAAACAACATAACTTGGTCCAAGAAAATGTAACATTGCACTGAACTACAGCAGTAACAAAATCACTCATTGTAAAGTGGACCTATCATGCTATATTTGAATAATATATTGTAGGGCCATACCTATATAAAACATGTCTGTGAAGTTTTTATTTCAAAATACCAAACAGATCATGCATTTTAGCCATGCCTCATTTCGCTCTATTTGCTGTATTCCAGCCCTGTCTTCACAAGGGCTAATTCTGTGGCAAATGAGCTGCAGCTGACCACGCCCCCCTGCAAAGGAGGGGGGCGAGGCACGAGCGTCATGTTACCATACTGTTACCATGCCACGGCAACCTCTCATTCCCCTGATAGGTGGAGAGTTGCCCATATAGGCGGAGCTCCTTGTTTCTGACGTCAGAGATATTTCAAATCTGTATCATTTCTGACACTTGGTGAGTATTCATGTATAAAATACTTTTTTTTAAATTTATTTTTTAGAGTTTGACGTTTTGCATGATAGGTCCCCTTTAAATTAGAATTAATGAGGCCGTATTTGTACATATATATACACTCAGTACACTTTGATCACTGTGGTATGGTTGTGACGACCATCCACAAAAGTGAAGCTGGTTTAGTCTAACCTTGTGTGTCAGCAGGGCAAAATTAGCTCCTGGGTGCACCGACTGTAGTGGAATCCACTGTAGAGGTAAACTGCCAGGTGTCTATATTTCTTCCTGTCTCTCTAAGGTCTGATTTTTCTTTTGCAGTGATTGATTCACAACCTTGCAAGATCTGATCATAAAACTGGTACAGGTGTGTAGTGGAGATCACAATAGAGTAAAATCTACTTCCAACCCATGGGACCTTATTTCGGAAAAATTATGTTTTGAAGTCAATGGGGAGAGAAAGATTATCTTTCGATCCCGTTTGAATTGTGCCACGAATTGCACGTGCGTTGAAGTTGCCGGTGGGCGCAACTTTTGAAGCGAGCAACGCGAGCAAAGCGAAGCGACGGAACCACAATGCAGTTTGGCAAAGTGTGACGTCACCCCATTCAAAGTAAATCGGAAGAAGCATTGACAATGAAGGCTCGATAATCAGCTCACGGGATATAGGTGTAAGCAGGGGTAAAAAAAAAAATGTAAGTGGGGGGTGGACAGAACCTCCTCTAGGGGGGGCAAGCTCCCCAGGGAAGATTTTTTTTTTAATATTGAAGTTAAAAGCATCAATCTGGTGCACTTTGAGAGCAAAATGAAGAGATCTATGGATACATCTCTCAACATCCATATGAAACAGATTTACTTTTTCTTTATGGATATTTTACAAATCACAATTTAACTCTATTCTTGTTTTACTGTCATATAGTAGGCTATTTCATTTCATGTTTTTCATTTATTACTATGTTATTACTATATTACTATCTGACATCACATACATCGTAGCATTAAAGTTCAAAGTTTATTTATAATTAATTTAAAAAATTTGTTTTCCATGTCCCTTTAGGGACTCCATACTTTACTAATTGATAAAGCAACTAATCGATTTAGCACTATTCACGTCGCTAATTTTAAGGTAACTTGCACACATTTGGAAACAATTCAAAAAGAGTCTTGGCACATAATGTAAGTGTGATAAGAAACATCTTTAACTCAATTCAGCCATGATATGACCGGTTCAAAAGCTCATTTAAACCTCTGGAACTTTCTACCAAATCGTTCCTTTATATTGTGTTTAACATTCAGTTTTACAGCAGAAATAGAGATAGACTTTAAGTTTTCTTAAGTGTTGCACTCCTTCTACAGACAGCCTGCATGAGTTCACTTTGGACCAACCGTCTGAAGGAGGAGAGGGGGTCTTTTTTTACTAGCAAATGATAACTAATATATTCTGTATTCGTCCTACAAACCGCTGAGGCTGTTTCTGGAATGTTAAACAATCAGAGAGCGGGAAGCAGGAGAGCGAGCAGAAGAGGAGCGGACTTACGAGGTGACAGAGCCCGGAGACTGGTCCCTGATCCATCGCCTCGGTGGGGACAGCATCTCCCCAAAAACACCCGGTAAACTCCCGCTGCGACTGTCTCCCGAGCCCCTTCTGTGGATGTGTGCGTGTGTCTCTTTCTCTCTGTCTCTCTCCTCTCTCTCTCCTCTCTCTCTGTCTCTCTCTCTATCTCTCTCTCTCTCTCTGCTCTCTCTCTCTCTCTCTCCTCTCTCTCTCTCTCTCTCTCTCTCTCTCTCTCTCTCTCTCTCTCTCTCTCTCTCTCTCTCTCTCTCTCTCTCTCTCTCTCTCTCTCTCTCTCACCCCCCCCCCTCCTCTCTCTCTCTCTGTCTAACTCTCCTGACTCCTCCTACTGAACCGAAATCACTTCACCCCGCTATCAGATCTAACCACTGACCTCAGAAGGTAAGATTAACTATAGTTTATAGGAGGTAATGCTACGTGTTAGAAAAAACATAGAATCACACATTTTAGCTACAATTTAAATCAGGCTACTTATATATAATATACAACGTATTGTTCCTATTCGTACACTATAACCACCAGTGACGTGCGGTGAGGTTCATGGCTGGTGAGGCACTGACTCTTCAGTCAGATTTACAAATATTATATTTTGACCTTAATCGAAATGTTCAGTTACAAAAAGCTTTTTTAGTCTGATGCTTCGATTCATTTTAAACAGACCGTTCAACAAAAGGATACCCACAATCTAAATATTGGATTGTTCTTTCTTAGTAAGATCCCATGTTCATTACAATTGTGGTCTTACCTTGACTTGATGATGAAGTCCATGCTATCTTTCTGGACAACAATCTCCATTTCATTTTTGGAAAAGTCCTCCTTATCTTCCTCTAGTTTCAGGAGTCTAGCTTGTTGCGTAGAATAACAGTAGCAACAAGAACCTGTGGGCTCACATGCGCCCCCTTCAGTGCGGCAGAGGTTATGGCTGCCTCCGGTGCTTTTTTCATTGCCGTTGTGATGAGACCAGCGAGCCTAAATATCATATAAAGGTGAAATAAGTTATTTAGAGACTATGGATGGCGAGGATAAATGTAATAGAGGGATCTACAAACATTACATTGGTGACATACAGTGAGATGGTGCAGGCATGCGCTTAGGGCCTGCTTTCCAGCCAGTTTCTGTGGGGTGACGCATCTGAGGTGAGGCAGAGCTAATCTGTGCCTCACCTCACCACACAGTAACTGGCTTGAGCGCGCTCACAAAATAAGTGCCTGCGCTCCAGCCAGTTACTGTGGCCTTACGAGAGGCAGAGCTCGTCCCTGCCTCACTCCCATGTAGTTGTAGCGGAGCTCGGACAATTTGCTGATTTTGACTATAAAAAGCGATTGGATTGGAATCATACAGAAATCACACTTACAACACAGATCAGTGGAGACATTTTATTATTATTACTATTTAGTTTTTCTTTAGTTGTTTTTCCGTTACATTGGAGTATGACAGTCCCTGACTGCACGTCGCTGATAACCACCAGACTCAGTGACAGTTTTATCCCACAGGCAATACTACTGTTGAACTCGTGAGCTCAACACTATAAACTACAATGTTCATCTGTATGTCTGTTTATTCCAAATATCCATATTTATATATCATTATAGTAGCCTACATTATTTTTTGTTTAAAATGTATTATTTTATTCTATACATGTGCATAGCTCACTTATCTATTTTCTGTTGCACTATTTTACTTCCTATTATGGCCCTATTGTGCTTTTTGGGGTTTTCCCTTTCCTGCAGTGTGTTTTTTAAGTTTTTGTTGTTTGCAGAGGAGAAAATCCCAGAATTCACGCGAGATGGAGTTACTTATGGTGGCCGACGGGTGAAAATGTGCTTCAACTGCCCAAAACATTTCCATTAGGAGAAACGCGCTGCTTTTTCAAAACTCATGCAAATGGACCGAACATGTGTAGCGTTTACTAAAAGTTCTGCATAAATGAACGTTGCAAATAATAAAGCACTGCAAGAAGCTTAAAACAACTCAAACCAGGAGACACCAGGAAGTGATGAACACAGTTGGGACCAAAGCGGTTGTTGAAGTTTTATAAAGTTGGCCAACTGTCACTGTTGTTAAAAAGTTTCCTAACATGTACGTTTTATTGGCTTATTTTAACAAGGTGATTGCATGATTATTCCAATATTATTGCCAACCTAATATTCCCCAACGTCAACAAGTGCTGCAGTCCCAGCTATGCATCACTTTTTGGCATCGCATGGTTTCCGTTGAGTTTTCCCCTTAGGCTTTGGCATGCTCTGACAGATTCTGCTTCCATGTTAATGTCAGTTTTCCCTCAAAGTTTACAGATTTGGTTTTGGTCTGAGTGTGTCCAATTTGGTATTTGGGTGAACAACTTGTGAAGTGTTGCTCTGTCTCTGTCAGTAGTAAACCCACTCAGTTTGGGTGTGAAATACGATCCAGGATGTAGATCTGTGAGGTTTTATCAGACATCAAAACACTGCACAGCAGAGCACTGAACACTGCAAGAAAGTTGGGCTCAATTCATCTAACATTTAACTAAATCAGGTTTTTATCATCACAATAGCATTCAATCTTGTCTTTAGTGCTCAAACTGTCAGGTATCATCAAGTAGGGTCCTACTAATATATGCCCATACTTTGTATGATATGATATTGTTCATCTCACATTAGAACAGAAAAAACATTAAATAACTCATCTGGGTGCGATTTGAAGATTTTATTATCTTTCTTAGCTGTATTCGAACAATGACTTGTTTGTACTCAAGATGTGGCAGCATTGAGCTTTCTTTAGGAAAACATCAAGAAATAGGTTTGCCCTCTGAAAAAACTGTCATTGAAAAATACTCTTTATGTTCTACCAAAGATAAAACCCAAGCAAGAGCTACATGTGGAAAACCATTACTTTAAGCTTGGCAATAAGAATGTTGTGGTCAATGACATAAAAAGTTGCAACAAAATCCAAGAGCACCGCCCCAACTATTTTCCTGTTAATATATGTATAACATTGATCCGTTATGTGTACAGATGCAGTGCTAAAACAGAGCATCCAAAACATGCTGTGCTTAAGTAAGATTTTACATTTTATTCAGATAATTTGATCAAAATCGGCCTTCCGAAGTATTTCAGCACTTTACTAGTTTACTAAATGCTCAAAAGTATACTAGTATGCTAAAGATCCGTAGCATTTGCGTAGCAATGTAAATCGCTATTGGTAGCATGTATTCAGTCAATAAAAAGAGACCATGATAGACCCCTATTGCACCCCACAAAAAAAGAGAATCCCAAGAGAAATAGGCCTCTCCTAGTATACTGCAGTGGCGAGCCTCTCTGAGGGCCTAAGATATTCTAAAAATAATATTTAAAAACATTAAAAAAACAACATTTTTTTAAAAATATTTTTTTAGTAATATGATTCATTAGTTTTACCAAAATAACTTGATTTAATTGTATTTAAAATAACATTTCCAAATAAATGAATCCTTTGAATCTGCGTGTTCATATTCTGTTGGAATGTGAAGGGTTAAATGCCGTCTCTGCGAGTTATGTGAAGACGGGAGAGCTTGTTGGTCCCTCTCTACATTCTCAGAGTGCCCGCTATAGTAACTCAATGAGAGAGTAATGTCAAATGACAGTACAATTGACAAATCATATCTTCCCTCTAAATGGGTGGGCTTTATTTTCGCGGACTTTATGACAAGTTCCGCCCGCTGTGAGGTCTATGCAAGTGAGAAGGGTCTAGCTGCGGCTACCATCAGGCTAAACTAACCTGTAGCTGCTCCGTCCACACTCACAACAACGTCATACAGACATAAATAAAGCAGCGACTGTATTCGCCATGACATAGACAGTCTGTGGTTTGTACTTGTTTAACTTTTGTCCAGTTTCTGAACAGATATGAGGAGCTGTGAGCTCTGAGTGTGTGCTAACGGCTGATGTGTTGGGACCATAGGTTGGGACCGGTTGGGACATATTGCGCTGTGGGGCGTTGACCAATCACGAAGCGTCATTTCTTGACTGGCAGCAAAAACAACCAATCACAGCAGTGCTTCTCTGGCTGGCTCTGTCCAATCATAAACAAGAAGTGTTCTCCCTAAAGGAATACCCTTTCCGTCCAATGTGAAATGCTGTGGCGTTTTGTGAAATGCTGTTGCGTTTTCTGAAATGCTCTTGTGTTTTCTGAAATGCTGTGGCGTTTTGTGAAATGTTGTTGTGTTTTCTGAAATGCTGTTGTGTTTTCTGAAATGCTGTTGTGTTTTCTGAAATGCTGTGGCGTTTTGTGAAATGCTGTGGCGTTTTGTGAAATGTTGTTGTGTTTTCTGAAATGCTGTTGTGTTTTCTGAAATGCTGTTGTGTTTTCTGAAATGCTGTTGTGTTTTCTGAAATGCTGTGGCGTTTTGTGAAATGCTGTGGCGTTTTGTGAAATGTTGTTGTGTTTTCTGAAATGCTGTTGTGTTTTCTGAAATGCTGTTGTGTTTTCTGAAATGCTGTTGTGTTTTCTGAAATGCTGTGGCGTTTTGTGAAATGCTGTGGCGTTTTGTGAAATGTTGTTGTGTTTTCTGAAATGCTGTAGTGTTTTGTGAAATGCTTTGGCGTTTTGTGAAATGCTGTTGTGTTTTGTGAAATGCTTTGGCGTTTTGTGAAATGCTGTGGCGTTTTGTGAAATGCTGTGGCGTTTTCTGAAATGGTGTTGTGTTTGTGAAATGCTTTGGCGTTTTGTGAAATGCTGTTGTGTTTTGTGAAATGCTTTGGCGTTTTGTGAAATGCTGTTGTGTTTTGTGAAATGCTGTGGCGTTTTGTGAAATGCTGTTGTGTTTTGTGAAATGCTCTGGTGTCTTGCACTTCAGGGCCACCGTAAGTTACAATGATAAATTGGAGTGGCAAAGGATCAGCTGCATGACCCGCCATCTGCTTCATCGAAAAGGACAGGAGGATGGACTTTGTGTTTAAGTGATTTGATCATCAAAGGTAGGCCTAAGTCATTTTCAAAGTGGGCCGCCGTGCCGACTTAATTCATTTTCAATTGTTACATGGCTGTGGGTGTCATGATATGTGTCTATATAAATGGTGTTGTTTTGTGTGGTAGAGGGTCGCTGTCATTGATACGTTTTGCACCCCGGGCTTTGTTTATAGAGTAA